AATTGGTTTGAAAAAATTATGAAATAATGAATTGCATCAAATACAGACAAAAAGTGAACCATATTTAATGATAATTAAAAAATTGATATTAAAATGGAATAGGTTAAACAAAAATATTATTATAAATTTAAAAAGAAAGATTCAATTAAGTTTGATTTGATTAAAGGCATTACAGTATTTTGAAATTTCTAAACAACTTGTAGGAATTTATACAATTTTCATAAATACAATTATCTACTATATATATATATTATATTATATTAACAATTATTTTAATCATTAGTACAATTTGTTTTTAATTTCTAATATTAATAAATCAGCTAGGATTCGTGGGTATTATATCATCATAACTAACCACAGTCGTTATTTATACATACTAAAGATAAACATGGCTGCGCGTTGTATCGGAAGCTGTCCCCCAAAATTTTCAGCCATTAGCAACCCCCAGCAATATGTATGGCGCGTCCCTTCTACAGGGTGTCTAGTTTGCTCTATGTGTAGTATCTCTATGGTTTACATCACGTGGAACAGCTATATATATGTAAGATTCGTGGAAAAAAACTGGACCGCTGGACTGACTGGACCGGGACTCGAACCACGGATCTTTTGCTTTCCGGGCGACTGCTCTTTAACCAATTGAGCTATCCAGGGCCCACCGACCAGTACCCTTCCACGAATGCTTATCAAGTTTGGCATGGAGGCGTTCGTCCCACATATACGACTAACTACGGTAAAACAAAATGAAATCCATTGGAAGAAATTCGGATCGATTCGAATCGATTAAACAGCTGCCATTTAAGCTTATCAGCAATATTAACTGTACATACTTCAACAATTTTGGCGAATCAAAATCACACTTCTTAATAGTATTTAAAATTGTATTCATATTATAAACATTAGATTACAAAAGCACGAAATGTAAATCAAAAAATAGATTACATAGAAAAAATATATTAACGGAAGAATATCTGTAATAGAAATAAACGTTTAGTGGGCCGCATGAAGCCCCGAGGGACCTGACTTAAACGATTTATTAATTGTAAATCAATATTTTACAAAAAAAAAAAAGAAATGAAGCAAAACTTGGTTATAGAGAAATTTTAGTTTTTTTTTTTTTTTTTTCATCGTTATTGTTGATGTCTCATAATTTTGTTAAATATTTAAATAATTCTCTACTTATAAAACACGCATCAAAAAAAAAAAAAAAACAACAAAATGAAGAAGTAGAAGAAGAAGTTGTAGATGAAGTAAAATAAAAAAAAAGAAAAGAAGAAGAAGAAGAGAATAATGTGGACAGAATCAGCTGTTGTTCTCCACTTTTGTATGGAAAATTAGTTTCTTAAACCAAAGTCCAAGGATTGGCAGGAAGTTCATTAATTATGTAATCACATTTCGTTATGCGCATGCCTCTCTTTTCCTTCTTTATCCGTGAAAACAAACATCTATCCATTTTCTTCCAACAATTTCTCTTCCTTACACATACACACAAACACACACACAAACTCGTATCTCACGTTTCTCAGGAACGATTGAACAA